CTTTCCCAACAAAGAGGTATCTATTGAAACAGAGACCATTATAATGTGAGTACATAATAAAGTGCATTTTAGACCTTTTAATTTTTTTAACTTTTTAAAATTATAATGAAGAGTAAAAGAGAACTTGTCACATGAGGTGATTTAAGGAATTCTCCCAAATAATCCACAGAGCTGAAGAAATCAAACTAACAAAATAGCTGTCCTTAACTCCAGACACAAATACTTTTTTTGAAAACCTAGGTTTGCATCCCAGCTCAAAGCTTTTAGATAAAGTGTGGCCTTGAAAAAGTAAAAAAAAAAATTAGTGGAATAATTCATTCTGTGGTTAAAATGAAAACATCACTCTTGTTCCATTGTCAAAATTTTAAATGCATTACTTTTCAAAAAATTGATGTTAATATAATGTAAGTAAAACACTGCAAATGTAAACTGCCTCAAGTCCAGACCGTTTTTAAGATTTCTAAAATGTTTATACTATAGCTAGTATTAAAAAAAAAAAAAAGAAACTCTCCCTATTTATCTCGTTGCATCCCTTAGTTCCTCTTAAGAAAATATTTCACTGGAAATCTTCATCAAATTTCACAGGAACAAGGGGTCCCCGAACGTCTAAACCCTTCAAAATTCAAAAGGTATGCCTAATCCCTTTATGCTGAAATTTAATTAGATTCCAATTCCCATGTTAGGCATTTCTTCCAACTTTCCAACCATGTTTGCTAATTCTGATGTTTTACAGAGCAGGATTAGGAGACAATTTATTCAGATTAAAATGAGAGGATTAACGTCTCCATCCCCTTTTCCAGGGAGCAAAAGATTCCTTAAAATAGCCTCATCTAATAGAAAATAGAACAAACTTAAAGTCAGGTTGAGTTCTTTCAGTTCGGTCACCAGGTGGTGTATCTAACTTCGTTGCAAATTAACCCTTCCGAGCTTCCACTCAAGAGGTAGAAGAGAAAATAGTTGAGAGTCATCATAAACCCGCTGGGTTTGCAGCCAGCTGTGAATTACTTGGAACCGCCCAGAAAATGACCACTTTCGAACGGATACTCCTAGACTCGTGGGTGTAAACCCCGGGACCCCTGGCCTGCTCCCGAGGCCGAAGCAGGCTGCCTCTGCGCGCCCGCAGAGGGCTCCTTCGGCACCAGAGTCCCCAGGCCCGACGCTCCCTCCGCCGCCCACCCTCACTCGGTCCGCAGGCCTTCAGAATGCCGACCTGCGTTCGCACCCGACGCCCGAGAAGCGGCGAGGCTCCCCGCAGCCCCACGCTTCCGCAGCCAACCAGCCCCGAGGAGCCACTACAGGAGGCCACCCGCGAGGCGGCCGCCCTAAGGCCTCGAAGCGCGGCGGCCGCCCACGGCGCCGTCCTCTTCCCTCCGAGCCGAAGTCCGGCTGCCCACGAGCTGCGCAGCGCCAGCAGCAGCATCCCGCGCGTGAGAAGTGGCGGCAGACGGCGCTACGGCGACAGCCGGGAAGCCTGAGGCCCAGCTCCCCACCCGGCCGCAGCTGGAACCTGCCGTTCATACCCCGCCCCTAGCCGCACGCGCGTGCGCAGAATACGTAACCTTGCACCTTTCCCTGCCACGCGCGTTTCCTGCGGACAGAACTCTGAATACCGCACGCCGGCCTCTAGTTGCAGGGACACTCAAACGCCCAGCCTGCGCGCGGCTTCCCTTTCCCAGACTTGAGCGCTCTTTATGAGACTGTGGAAGGACAGAGAAGAGAGCCATGCGCGAAAGATAAAGCCTGGAAGCTAGGGTTAAATCTTTTATTCTCCCGGGCGTCATTTTCTAGGCCCCCAAATATATTTTCTTTCTAGAAAATGATTCTAGCCTATTAGCACAGAGTAATAATATTTTATGCGACTTGGACAAAAATGAGTGGTAATTTAATTCAACCATTGGGTTGGTAGAAAATAAATGGAGCTTGCTCATGTGATGCTGATACTTGACAGATTTGTCTTCTGGAATCCTTCTCAACCATACATGTTTGTTCATTCTTGTTAAAGAGGTATTGAGTGCCTATTGCCAAGACTAAGGAGCAGAGGATATAAAGATACTGCATAAAATTGGGAATCCACTGTACTTACACAGTGGAGGAAACACCTAAAAATAAGCTAAAATATAATGCTGCAATATCATTAGAATATACCAATTTACAAAATTTTTCAGAAGCCCAGAAAACAGCATGATTATTTTGGCCTCAACACGTCTAAAAGCTTCAGGTTACCTGAGTCTTAAAGGATGAGCATCCAGTTAGTTCACACTCCTCTGTTTACTATTTCAGAAGAATGTTTTTGACTCCAGACACTTTTGGCACAGGAAAGGATCAAACTAAAAGTCTAAAATAATATCACCTTGACAACTCCAAATCCTGTCTACTTTTTTTCTGGGTATCCAAAGGGATAAAATTATACTGCTTCTTTATGAATGATTTCATTTTCTTAAAGTTATCTTCCACTTACATTTATTTTTAAGATTTTATTTGACAGAGAGAGACACAGCAAGAGGGAACACAAGGGAGTGGGAGAGGGAGAAGGAAGCTCTCTGCTGAGCAGAGAGCCCGATATGGGGCTCCATCCCAGGACCCTGGGATCATGACCTGAGCTGAAGGCAGACCCTCAATGAGCAAACGCCAGGGACCATCCAGGCACCCCTCCACTTACATTTTAAAAACACTTCTGTTTAGTGTGATACTACAAACATCAATTATCCATCTTACTGATAATGTTTAAAATAGTCTGTTAATATAGTATTTTCATATTGTTACAAAGATAAATTGAGACATTAAAATTTTTTGGTTTATTTGAGCAAAAATTTATTCGAATTGGACAGCACCAAACTGAAAGTGATTAAGAGTCCTCCACTGGAGGAGCCAAGGGCAAGGTTTCTACAGAGAAGATGAAGAAGCAAAGCAAGGAAATTATTTGGCTATAGTTTAAGCAGTTGCATTATTTGGGAAAATCCACTTGGCCGTTTGTGATTGGTTGTTCTTAGACATTTACAGGAATTGACTCTGGCTTAGGTTTTGGTTTGCTTCCATAGGCTACCAAGGAATTAGAGCCATCTCAGTCTAATGGCTTCCTTGATTGATTTCTTCAATAATATACTGAGAGAATGTGAATTTTAACTTCTGTTAAGCTTAGTTTTTTTCCAACAGATTCTGTAAACAAATGAAAATAATATTTGGTTTACTTCTCAGTGTTTCTAAATAGCTAAAATTAGATCATATTCTGAAAATTCTATGCTATAGAATTACACCGAATTGTTATTTATGCTTAAATAGATTTCCCAATTCTAGTAATATAGACATTTGTTGAAAATAAACTACTTGAGTGGGATTTTAGAATGATACTGACTGGGGCACCTGGATGGCTCATTCTAAGTATCCTATTCTTGATTTTGGCTCCGGTCATGATCTCAGGGTCATAAGATTGAGCCCCACATCCAGTTCTGTGTGTTGGGTGTGGAGCCTGCTTAAGAGTCTTTCTCTTTCTCTGCCCATCCCCCACCCTCTATCTCTCTTAAAAAAAAAATTTAAAAAATGAAAACAAGGTAAATGGGTAAATGTCTAACCTTAAGGGAATACTTAAGTGACTCACAGTTCATTTATATGATGTAATTCTATACAGACATTAAAAATGATGCTTGTTGAGATTTTGGTTACAGGTAAGTTAAATTGGAAAGTTAACAGTATACAAAATCATATGCACACACTATGATGATGTAAAAGTGCATGGAGAAAACAAACATCTGCAATCTGTATTTTTTGTAACAGGCATATATTGACTACATAAATAAAATTTTAAAATACAGTAAAATTTTGCACAAAAGAGAAAAGACAGTCCTAGACTAGATCCTAGCCCTAAATCTGGCACTAGCTAGCCTCAGTATTCTCACGTGGAAAATTCTATCATTCTCTAGGCAACTAATACAGTGATCCTTTAGAGGCTGATGATGGAATGAGAAAAAGAGGAAGAGAGGGGAAGAAAACAACACTTTCGAAGTATAGGAGGAAAAATATGATTGAAAATGGGCCCACGCCTCCTCTCCTCACCCCATTGTCTCTCCCTGCCAAACTCTATTCTGAGCTACCGTTAAAACCAAAAACTTAAAAAAAATTTTTTTGCAAAGGCTTTGAAGTTAACCTAGAAAAATCTGTCCGTTAAAAGCAATGACTTTTATCTGCCAAATCAACAAAACATGTCTTTCAAGCAAAAGTCATTAATTAGGTCAACAAATTTTGTTTCGCCTGTATCTATTTTCCCTTTGTTGGACATTGTTAACACAACAGCGCCTAGTTGAGCAAGATGAAATGGTGTCTTGGCCCTACATTCCCTTCTTGCAACGGTCCGGTAAACAGAGTGCAAACTTTATTTAGCTGTTTCAGCTTTTCTGGAAGGGTGCCTGAGTCTAACCACAGCAAAGCAAGCAAAAAGGATAGGCCGATCGACGAGCGAGAGAGGGGCAAAGAGAGCGAGAGAGAGTGCTGGGGCAGAGGGCGTGGAATGTCAAATATGGTCTCAGAATTCAGTATCCGCGGCAGACGACTGGAAGTTCAGTGAATGATCTCAGAATCAAGGAGAGCTGAGCAACCCGGAGCTGGGAGGGTTTGGTAGGGCGGGAGAAAGGCCCCTACGCTGTGGGTGGGGGCGTGGTTAGTTTTCAGTAATCGCTGTCGAGAAGGGAGGAAACGAGGCCAGCCGATTGCGCTAGCGGTTATGATGCTCTTGCAAATTTTCATGAAAAGACAGATGGTGTTTCTTAAAAGAGCACGATCTTGTTAGCTTAGAAACCGCACTCCCACTTTTCAGTCTTTTCTATGCAGATAATCTCCGACCCCCAGGAGTACCCCTGGACAATCTCCAAAATTACCAAAAATCTTAACATTCAACGTGAGAAACTACAAGTCCCAGGGTGTAGTGCTGCCGTGGAGAAACAGTAGCCGCCAGAGAAACTACAAATCCCAGGATGCAGTGCTGCCTCGGAACCCCGAGCACCTCTTTGAGAATGATGTCCTTACGGAAATCGGATCAGGGTCGGCGCTGCATGCTGGGAATCAGAAGACCCAGAATTAGATTGGTTGGGATTTGCAAATGACCGCGGCCCCCCGAGGTTGGCCAGTGGTACTGTAGGAGAAGGGAGGGGGGCGCTGCGCACTTCCTGTAGACGGAAGCGGGCGATTGACTGCGTCCCCGCCTCAGCAGGTACTAATCTCCCGCGCGTCGTAGAAAGCGTCCGTGACCCGGCGGAAGTGATTCCTCTAACTGCCCCGGAACCCACGGCGGCAGGCAGCTGGGGGTGGGGGGGCGGCCCTGGAGTAGGGGCTGTGGCGGTGCGCGGGGACCCGGTGCGGTGGCTGCGGTGGCTGCAGGGCTGACGAGTGAGTCTCGGGCTGGGGTGGGAACGGAACTGCGGATCCGCGTGGAGGACAAGGAAGGCTCGTACTGGGAGAGCACGCAAGCCCACTTCCCACCCCTTCCCATTTGGGCGGGGAAGGAACGGAAGCTCTTAACCTCGCCGGGCCTCCTGAGCTCCTGGTTTGGGGGAGGGGAGAAGAGGGCGGCAGGACCTTTCTAGGCGCCTCTTGGTGGCCTCGGAAGAGGGTGAAAGGAGGGGCGGCGGCCAGCGAGTCTGGGCCTTCCCCGGGCTGAGCGCGGGGAGGGTGGAGTTAGGAGCATGGCAGCCCTGTCGCGTTTCCTTTCTGCTTTCCCCGTGTGCACTCAGATACGTCCTTTTCTTGGAGTCGGTCCCCAGTCAGAGGAGTGACTCTCACAGTCACAGTCCTCCTCTTTTTCCAGCTGCAGGACCCCGAAAAGTTTACCTTCTGGGCAACTTGTCGGACGATCTGTGCCCGACTTCATAGTTTGGGACTGTCGTGCATGTGCCTTCCAGTTTTGTCTGAAAGGTATCTAGTACAGTGGCCGTTGAGTTTATCTTACGGAACTAAAATCTCTTTCGTAACATGTAGTTGTAAAGTTCATGTCATTAGTACGGGCATTTCTACTTTGCATTTTACTTTTTCATGTTTGTGTAGAAAACAACCGAAATCCTTTAGTTTGAGTTTTTAAAATCCTTTTTTTCAAACTGCTAAACTTGCTTTTTGATCCCCAAATAGTTGTTTCCTTTTCTATTTAGTAGACTAAGATAAAATCTCTGATCTCGCTTACATTATATTTGTAATTCATGATGTTGAAACATCACAGTTCACACACATGGATTCATTCATTCTAGAGATACTATGGTAAGGAAACAGCTATGGTCCCTGTCATCTTGGATATTTATTTATTGCCAGTGGTGATTTGGAGTTTGTGTTTAATTTTTAAATGACTTATTTTTTCCCTAAATATGAGATTTAACTGGTAACTACCATTTCAAAAAAATATGTATATATATCTTACACATATATGTTTATTTCAACTTGTAGATGCCAGTTTCATTACTTTTATAGTAATTCTGTAATGTAGTTAGGCAATAGTAGTCAAAAGTTATGGTCAGCCCTATATATCAGGTTCTAAAGTAACATTTGAGTGTACCTTATAAAGTGCTTTTTTGGTGTGTTGTTTTTTTTTATATAGATTTTTCAGTATTATAAAATAATCTGGAAACTCTTTGCATTTATACTGGTAAGTGTACATGCATTTTAGCTAACTTGTTATAAATGTTTATTGTTCCATTATTAAATAAGATCAGGAAAAGCCCATCGAGTGATGCCTGAAATTTCAAGCCTTGGTGACTAAGAAAACAATAGTACCATTCACTCAAGAAATATTTATTGAGCATCTGCTATATGCCAGCTACTATACCAGGGCTGCCCTCATGGACCTTGGGGAAAGAGAGGAGATGCAATAAGTATATATATATATATATGTATATATATGTGTGTGTGTGTGTGTGTATATATATGAGCAAATATAGTTTCAAGTGGTGATAAATGTGAAGAAATTATGTCAAGATTAGAGTTATGTCAAGAGTCAAATTAGGTGACTAGGGTAGGGGTGTCTAATTTTGATAGGGGAGTAAGCAAGGAAGACCTATGTCTCTGAGGAGTTGATGTTTTGCCTGGAGACCTAAATAATAGGGAAAAGCTTTTAAGATATCACTAACTGCAAATGTAAAGACCTTAAGAGAGGAATGAACTGAACCTGTTATGATACTAAAATGGCTGATATACAGTATAGCTGGAGCATAGTGAAGGAAGAATGATGGGAAATAAAATCAGAGTAGTTAACAAAGTCTAAGATACAGCTTTATAGTCCTTTTTCTGTTTGTAATGAGAGGCCATTAAAGGATTTTGTGCGGGGGAATGATATCTGATTTCTGTTTTTGATGACTAGTTGCTGGGTGGCAAATAGACCAGTTGGAGGAAAGTGAGGAAACTAGTTCCTAAGGAGGCTGTAGTAGTCTAATTGAGAAATGGTAGCTTGAACTAGAGATGCAGGGTGGAAGTTTGTGAGGAATGGTATGATTTGGAATATAATTTGAAGGTGGAGTCAGGTCTTGCCTTCACCCCTAGGACAGAAAAAAATTTGAGGAATCAACTGTTTTGCCTGTTTTGAGCATCTGGGTGAACAGTTACTGGGTGAACACTTACTGAAATAAGGAAGACAGGAGGGTATACTGGTTTCTGAGGAATAAATCAGGAGTTTGATAATTATACAGCTCAGAATGTGTGCACGTAGGCAAGTCGGATATCCACAACTATTGCCAGGGGCAGAGTCAAGCTAGGAAGATTATCTGGGGGTCATATTTTATTTTTTTTATTTTATTTTTTTAAAATTTTATTTATTCATTTGAGAGAGAGAGCACAAGCGGGGGAGAGGCAGAGGGAGAAGGAGAAGCAGACTCCCCACTGAGCAGGGAGCCCGACATGGGACTCAATCCCAAGACATGGAGATCATGACCTGAGCTCAAGGCAGACACTTAACCATCTGAGCCACCCAGGTGCCCCTGAGGGACATTTTTAATAGGTATTATTTAAACCTGTGGACTGGAGGACATCAAGTGGAGAGTATTAATGGAGAAGAGGACAGATGACTGGGAACACTCTGGTCGAAAGAGGAGCAGCAAACAGTGATGGAAGCAGAAAAGCCAGGAGGGTGTGGCATCTGTAATACTAAGGGAAGAAACTGTTTTGGGAAGGCGGGAGTAGTCAACTGTAAGACCCTGCTAAGAGTTAGATGAGGATTAAAAATTCGCCATGTAAGCAAGTAAAGTAATGGAAATATGGTGAGCCCCTTGAATGGCCTAGTGGGCCAGAAGTCTGATCAGAGTGTGTTAAGAAGTGAATGGTAGTGATGATGTTACAGCATTTTGATGTGCTGTTGGGAATAATAGCAGGACAAAGTCCTTGGAGAGGTGTGCTTAATTTAAGTGGAAAGGTTGGCCTTGGATAGGAAGGATGGTTTTTATTCAACTTTTGAAACAGGAGGGTGGACAGAGTATATGGTATATAGATACAGGTAGGATGAAGATGGAAAACAAGGCAATTGATGTGATGTCTTTCTCTTTTCTTGATAAAATAAGTAAAGTTGTCAGGGCAAGGAGGAGGAGAAGGTGTTGGAGGTTTAGGAGAAGCTAGGATTTTTTCAGAGTAGAAAAGCTAGTTTACTAGGAGGATTTCTACAATGCCAAGTGCCTATTTAAAGTGTGTGGTCACAAATTTAAAGTTGAGATCAGTCAGAATGGTGTGTCTTTTCTCCAGCTACATTCATCTCTTTGGTTGAGGCTTGAGCTCACCAGAGAATTGGGTTTGCCCAGGATTGGGCTGTGGGTGGGTAGATCAATCAGAGGAGAGAGCAGGGAGTTAGGGTATCAGGACTGTGAGATGTGCATGGTGCTAATCCTGATGAACTCTTAACAGTGGAGTGAAGCAAGGTCAGAACTTGTTTTATATTTGTTTTTTATGTTTATTTGTAGCCTATCATTCTAAGCATTCTTTTAAATTATTTTGTAATATGTAGAACGTATAATTAGATACTACATAGTGGGAGTATTTGTTCAAACTTTTTTAAACCAAAACAAAGGCATTTGGAGATCATCGTCTAAGATAGAGGTTAGGTAGTTTACAGGGGTGAGGCAGACAGACTCTGTGGAAAGCACGTAGCACTCTGGAGCCCTGTGTTTATGAGAGCAACAACTCTGTTTAATAAAGATGGGAAATTGGGAATTACAGGCATTTGTAGAGGAAGGGAGAATTTCAGATGGGTACGATCATGAAATGGTGGCCCTGGAAGGGACTTTTATTTTTTTTTTTTTGAAAGATTTTTATTTATTTATTTTGAGAGTAAGAGAATGAGAGATAGAGAGCACGAGAGGGAAGAGGGTCAGAGGTAGAAGCAGACTTCCCGCCGAGCAGGGAGCCCGATGTGGGACTCGATCCCGGGACTCCAGGATCACGACCCGAGCCGAAAGCAGTCGCTTAACCAACTGAGTCACCCAGGCGCCCTGGAAGGGACTTTTAGACACAATTTAGTCCATTGTATTTGAGAGATAAAGAAACAGGAGTCTTACCACTTTAACCTATCAGGGTCTCAAGATAGAAATTTGGAGAGTAGAAATTCAGATGTCCACTTGCAGTGACACTGTTACTTTCCCCACCCCTCTCCCGATTTGGCTCACACTGTTTATTTTGCCTGGATCTCCCTCTCTTTCCAGTTCTGCTTGGTAAAAACACCTCCATCCATTGAGACCCAGATCTAAAGCTACTTTCCTTTTGTGGCTGTTCACTTAACAGATTCATAGTTCCAGATTTACTTCTTTAGGACTCCCAAAATCCTACTCCCCATCTATTAGCATCTGCAAACCTAGAGAATTTGGATTACTTTTATTATCAGCATAAGTATCTTTTGAAAGGTTAATGAGACAGAAAACCATTTTGGATTGGTAATATCTGTACAATGAAAGATACTTAAATTTAAGAAAAATAATAAATTTTTAAAAAAATCTTTCCCTAACCTTATTTTTTAATTGAGACATAATTAACATATCGTGGAATGCTCAGTGTACCATTTAATTTTCCAGAAAGTTGCCTCATGCTTCTTCCTAATCATTCCTCCAGAAGCAGCCACTGATCTATCACCATAAGTTCATTTTGCCTGTTGCTAGAATTTCATATAAATTGAATAATACAGTATGTACTTTTTTGTTTTCCCATTCAGTATAATATTTTTGGTACTCATCTATTATTAGTAGATCATTCCTTTTT